AGGCTGCAGGCAGTTTCCCAGCCCAGCGCTCAACCGCTGCACCACTGGGGAGGCCCACTAAAATCTTAATATTATAGAGTTCCATAAGTCACTTAAAAAAATAAGTCACATTTTTCACTGGTGTGAGGCTTTCCAAAGCCTTTTATTGTAGCCAAGCACTGAGTCCGATATAATCTGTAAACAAAATAAAATGCATCAAATGATATTTTGAAATATTTGCTGAATTATCCATTTTTGAATATGCCATTGGGGTGATCCCTAGAAGTTATCTGATGAGTCATTTACTTGCACTTCCTCTAAAGCCCTTCACAGATCACTGGTCCATGCCCTGCGGCAGCTGACTAAAGACACATCTGCATCATTTAGATGTTGTATAATGTACTCAATCTTTCTATACGTACCTGTTTGCGCTTCCCTGTCAGCAAACACACACAAAGTGGTGAATCACAAGCCCTGGGTTCAGATTCACAAGCCCTGGGTTCCGGCCCCTGAGTAGGGGCCTGAGTGTGGTGGCAGCAGGTGCTTCCTTCCAGGGACCTCCTAAGGGTAAATCAAACCTCCCTCCCCAGTGTGGGGTATGAGCTGAGATCCAGCACCAGGTTAGAGGTAGGGATGGGCAGACCCTGGATGGGACCCCATTGGCATGCACAGCCCCTCCTGTGGCAGAGGGTGGGGAAGAAAAGAGGCCTGGGGAAGCCCAGCGCAGGTGAGCTCAGGGCTGTGAGCACCATGGCCTGGACGCCTTCTCCTCGTGATCCTCTCACTGCACAGGTGGGGACAGGCCTCCGAGACCCCGAACTGTCCCTTGGTCTGATTTAATCCCAATAGATCCTATTCCTATCTGGGATCGATGTTTATTTGGATTTGTCTTGTCTTGAGTCTGCAGGTGCCCTCTCCCAGACTGTGCTCAGCCACCCTCCCTCTCTGCGTCTCCTGGACCAACTGGCCAGGCTCACCTGCAGCCTGAGCAGTGGATACAATGTTGGTAGTTTCAAGATACTCTGGTACCAACAGAAGCCCAGGGAGCCCTCCCAGGTTCTCCTGAACTACAACACAGAATCAGAGAAGGACCAGGGCCCCTGGGTCCCCAGCTGGAGCCAAAGACGCCTCCGCCAATGCAGGCCTCCTGCTCATCTCGGGCCGCAGCCTGAGGATGAGGCCGACTACTACTGCAGTATATATCATGGAAACACAGACTCTTCACAGTGCTCCAGACCCAGGGGAATTGAGACAAAATCCTACCCACTGCTCTGCTCTGATCACAAAGGGATCCTGGGGGGACCTTCCACACCCACATGGGTGGGCTCTCACCCTGCACAGACAGAGCCTCATACACATTCCTCAGCCCTGGGAGACCCTCAGGATCGGGCCTGCCCATGTCAGCAGGGACCAGGGCCCACAGCGCCCATCCCTTGATGCCCCAGGTTCAGTTCTCAACTCCGGGGAGGACTTAATCTTTGACTCCTCATCTTTGAATGGTCGGTCAGGGATTGTCTCCTTCATAGGTTTGGAGGATTAAATTATGTCATCATGTGAATTATTTCATGTGTGGCCCCCACAGCTGCCAAATTCATTGGCCCCACTCACCCACCTGTTCTAGGAGCAGACACCCCAGGATGGCCTCTTCCCGATCCTCCTTGACTCCTGCTCTTTCCCTTCCCCCCGTTCCATGACTTACCCATCAAGGCAGGGAATGTAAAGAGAACTGGTTTTCATTTGAAAAATGGATAAAACCCAGGATCTATCAGATACGAGACAGTCGTGATGGACAGGGCGTGAATCTCTGGGTGTCAGCGCGGGTGTCTGCAGCCCCGACACAGGTTCTCTCCTCTCTCCCTGGGGATGGGGACACGGGACATGGAGACACACGTGGCCCAGCGTGGTGATAAGATTGGACAGTGCTGACCCCATCCTGACCACAAATGCCCACTGGGCTCTCCTCTCACATGGGTCCAGTCCCCTCTATTGTGCCGAGAACCTGGAGGTGAATCCCAACCACTCGGACATTGTGGACTCCAGGGGAGAAGCCCTGTGGGCGCAGACATGAGCAGAGTTGGACATTTTACAGATTTCAATGATGTTCTCATCCAACCCATGGGCCCCGAGGGGCTGCCAACTGTGCTCAGTGGGCAAGGAGACATGAAGACCCGCAAAGTGTGCATCTGTGAAAAGAAGGGGAAAGCAATGTATCCTCCAGAACTTTGTCTCAGCGTCCTCCTGTGTGTGATGTGGGGAGCGTGGGGGTGGAAAAAACCTCAGGTGTTACAGTTTCATAAGTAAAGTGGCCCTTAGTTGAGTGACATGGAATATTCTGCAAAAAAATGAGGGTTCTTGTAATTCCTGTTCACTTATTTCTATTCCATGTTCATGTCTAATATCAGTTCTTCATGGTATTTATTGATTAAGGCCTCTGATGCATTTTCCTTCTAGCTCATATCTCTACACTCAAATCTGTCTCCTCAGAATTTTTCTGGTTTCTTGTGACTATGATGGTGGAGTCTGAACAGCACCCCAGTGCTCCTCCCTCTTCCTGCCTGAGTGTTGGGGTCTCTAATATGGCAGCGGCTCACAGACTGCCCTTGGTCCCTTCTGGAGAAGACAGAGGCCTGGCCTCCCTTTCCTCCCTGCAGAGCCCACTCACCGCATGACCTTCTACACCTCTGATGACAAGGAGTAGCTCCGATTGTTTGGGCCCTTTGCACAGGTGGGATGTTGATGTGCAGTGAGCTGAGGCTGCTGTGCAGACACCTGGCTGTTGGTCTACAATGTGAGGGGTGCTAGGTGCAGAGGGTGAGCCCTGAGCCCAGCACTGACCAGGATGCCCACATGTCCAGTAGCAGAGTCTGCTGTGTCCAGACCTTGCTCCTGGCCCCACAGCTGAATGCTTTGAGAGCTCCCCTTGTGCTGCAGAGGTCCCCCAACCCTACCAGGTGTAACACATTTCCTACCACTTCTGGGTATCTTTTTTCAACTGGATCCTCTAGAGGAGGGGCTTGTGCAGCCATCAAAAAGTAGAGTATTTGCATGGAGTCCTCTCACCTTCAGGAGGGGACATATAAGACTGCTGGTGGGCTCAGGTCTGGTGTGGGGTCAAGAATAGGACCTGGGGGAGCATCACCCCATGACCAAGGCTCCCCTCTCTTCACCATGCCTGCTCTCTGCACAAGAACTGCTCACAAGCAATTCTGGGAGATGACATCTACCTCCTCCTTGAGAACAGCACTGCTATTATTCATTGCACAATCGTTTAGGGACATTATAAATGTCTGTACCTGCCAGAGCATAGAGCAATGCAGTGATATGGTGCTGAGGATTATTGTCACATTCAGTGAGGTGGGGAGATGAGGGATAAGGAGGAAAATGTAACACCTTGAGTCTTATTGATGTTGCTTGAGGTAGGATGAGATGTGAATCAAGTTTTGGATAATTTGCATAGTTTTTCCTCCTAAAATGGCTCACAGTATTATTATCTATTCTTTTTACTGTCCAGGATGATAGGGGTGTGTGCTGCTGTGAATGATCCAGGGTCTCCGATACCCTGTGATTTCACAGATCCCAAATCAGGCCCTTCTCTCCCCCACAAAGAGGGCCATCACCTTGAGAACCATAGAAGGGACATATGAAGCCATGAGTGTGAGGGATGTAGGAGGTCTGAGAACAAGAAAGGGTTTGAGGTGTGTGAGGGGAAAGGGCAGAACCTGCAGCTCCCAAGGGGAGGCAGGTGGTGGGGTTCATGCCCAGAGCAGTGAGGGTCCTGAGGGGGTGAGCAGCTACTGACCTGCCTGAGATGAAGGAGGAGGATCCTCTGAATGACTGAGGAGAGAATGCGAGATCACAGGTATTTGCTCAAGACCCCCAGAGTCTAGAGGTTTGGGGACTTTTGCAAGGGGAAAGCAGAGTAGAAAATGGGTGTGGTGAGGGAAATGGGTTGTGGTTTCTGAATTCAGCTCTCCACACATTCCCGGCTACATGAAAACATTAAACTCTCACTTTCATTTATTATTTAAACTATCATAGTGAGTAAGTCATACAGGAAAAATATTTATTTAAAATAAAACCAAATTGTATGTGTCCTGAGAAAAAATTCTAACAAATTATATGACACAGATATTGCAAAAGCCAAAATCATAAGATTACAAAGCTCCATGTGGTACTCAAGAAATATGTTACAGGTTTCACCGGCGTTAATTTTTCCGAAGACTTTCACTAAATCATTTCTAATTGGTAAACAATAGTAAATACATTTTGTATTTTCAAATTGTTGCTGAATTACCGACATTTCAATATGCCGTTGATGTCATTTCTAGGAATTTCCATTCTGTGACATTTCCCTGAGATTTCTCTAAAGCCCTTCACAGCTCGACCGGCCCATCCTCAATAGCACAGGATTTGATGCTCTTCTGGATCATTTAGCTTTTAGTATAATGTTCTCAAAATACTTCTGTAAGTACCTCTGTGCACCTCATTGACAGTACCCAAATGCAGTGCCTGGGAATCACAGTCCTAGGAATCAGAACATGGAACTGTGAATAGAGACAGTTTCTCCTGAGCTGCAGACACCCATTGGGCTCTCAGAACTTTGGGCCAATGTGAGTGTTTGCCCAGAGACCAGCAGGGGGCGCTGTGGGACTGCCCAGTGTTCTACACACACCAGGCAGTGAGGTCATTCAACACCAAGGAGCTTGGCCTAAGTCTAGGCCCTGTGCTCCCAGGTGGGAACTCAGCGCTGTGTTCTTTCTTGTCTGGCACAACTGCTGAGCAGGGACCTGTGTGTGGTGGCAGCAGGTGCTTCCTCACAGTGTTTTCCCAGGGGTGAAGAAACCTTGCTGTTCCTGAGTGTGGGTGTGAGCTGAGCTCCTGCACCAGGGCTCAGGGAGGGGCTGGGCAGTCACAGCTTGAAACACATTTGCATGCACAGCCCCTCCTGGGGCAGAGGGTGGAGGAGAAAAGGAGGCCTGGGGCAGCCCAGTGCCATGTGGGCTCAGGGAAGTGTGAGCACCATGGCCTGGACCCCTCTCCTCCTTGTTCTCCTCTCTCACTGCACAGGTAACTGGATTTGGGGCTGGGAAGTGCCCTGGGAAGATGCATGGGCCCCGGATAAGTCCTCTTGTTTCTAGACCCAGCATCACCATCTCTGTGTCTCTCCTTCTTCCAGGATCCTGGGCCCAGTCTGTGCTGACTCAGCCACAGTCAGTCTCTGGGAACCTGGGCCAGAGGGTCACCATCTCCTGCACTGGAAGCAGCTCCAACATCGGGGGTGGTTATGGTGTGGGCTGGCACCAACAGCTCCCAGGAACAGCCCCCAAAACCCTTATATATGGTACTAGCAGTCGACCCTCAGGGGTCCCTGATCGATTTTCGGGCTCCAGATCTGGCAGCACAGCCACCCTGACCATCGCTGGACTCCAGCCTGAGGACGAGGGTGATTATTACTGTGCAAATTGGGACAGCAGTCTGAGTGGTCACACAGTGTTCCAGGCCTGTGGGGAAGTGAGTCAAAAACCCTTTTTCTCTTCAGCCAAGAGCAGGTACCCCTGGTAGCTGCTGCTGAGGCTCAGCCAGGGTCTCTGCTCCTTCTGGGCTGCTGTTCTGGACCAGGCTCCTCCAGGACTCCTTCTGGCACAGGCCCCTCCCTCCCTCTGTCCTCAGAGTCACTCCCAGTAGCACATCCCTAGGTGAGGGGTCTTCAAAAAAAAGAGAATTTCCTTTGCCTCAGAATAATTTACTAGTTCTAAGGAGATTTGAATTAGTTTATTTTCTCTGAGTTTTCAATAAGTGAAACAAATCTGGGACTGTGAACCTGTCAAGGGGTCTCAGCACGACTTGGCTGCTCTGGAAGGATGGCCCACTGCAGTTTGCACCTGATTTTATTATTTGCTTAATTGAAAGAAAGGACTGGTTTTGTGTGATTTCCATCTCTGAGTTGGTCATACAGGAAATAACAACAAATAAAATTATTAAAAATTTAAAAAACTTTTCTGCTGAGATAAACGTCTTTGTGAATATTCGAATTACCTAATTCACAACAAGCAAAAATGAAAACAACCAAAACTCTTCACCTGGATGTTTGTGACAGCTTTATGCATCCCAACAACCCACCCTCCACCGTGGGAAAAGCACAGGTGTCTCCTGTAGGTTGTACATTTAGGGCAAATTGAGAGGAATGAACTATCAGTCACAAGCATGGATGTTAATTTCAAATGGGTATTTCTTACAAAAGAATAATATCTAGGGCTGCCCTGGTGGCGCAGCAGTTGAGCACTGTGTTGCAAAGCTGCCCACGGCCTCTGCAGCACCAGTTCGATCCCCGCCTGCCGGGAAAGGATCCCACATGGTGCGCAGACCTCTCCTGCTGCCCGCTGCTCCCCTCAGCAGTGTAATTCGTCAGTCTGCCTGCTCTGCTCTCCCCTCTGACTCTGGTGAATTCTCTTACCTTTCCACTCTTCTGACAGTGCCCAGTGCTTGTATGAATAAATAAATAAATCTTTAAAAAAAGAAAAAATATCTACAACATTACATAAAGCAGTTTTTTATTCTATCACAACCTGTGAAAAGCACACTCCAGTGATGGGAAAGATGAGAACTGACAGGCGTGGGATGAGGGGCAGGGGTGAGTAGGTGAAGCAGAGCCATGCTGGCTTGAATGTCAAGAGAGAAATCCAATGAGTGCTTTCCACACAGCGAAGGTCATACGCTTGGCGTTGCCAGCACTTGTGGGAAACTGTTGAATCCAAGGGCAAGTTAGGGAGAATTAGGCAGCCTCAGGAACAGTGCAGGTGGGGGCCTCGGGAGAATTAAGGAAGGCTTCAGAGATAAGGGCAGCAAGAGGACTGTAACTAATTCCACTGGGAATAATAAACATCCCAGGACTTAGGTCAACAGTGTTACCAAACACCGGACTCAGTTTCCCTCAGCTAATAAAGGGAGGCGGAGTTTGGGAAAAGGAGAGGGGTTTAATTTGTTGACAAATGAGGAGGGCAGCAGACTCAGGTCTGAAAGACCACGGTCCTGCCCGTTGACAGAGTGCGGGGGCACTCTGTCAGAGTATAAGGGGGAGATGAGAAGGGGTCAGCACTGAGACCGGTGGGGCCAGCCTGTTTTTCCTTCAATAGCTGATGTTTGAATTTCTCTGCCCTAAAATTCAGGGGTGCTCATTTGGGAGACTGGGACATAATGATAAATCTATCAAACAAGGGGAAGATGCAACAAATGGGAAACGACAAACCTGTTAGATAAGGAATGTGAAGATCCCCTGCTCAGTAGCAGAGTAAGTGAGACAACTGAGAACTAACCAATCACAGAGAGACTGGTGCAGCTTTAGAATAATGAGGGAAAGAAGGTCTATATTCCCTGAGACACGACTCCACTTTGGCTTCCTTGCCCCTCCCTAGCCTGGTTTCATGGCCTGGGAGTACTGCTTTATTTCTGTTCTGTTTCTCAATAAACTTTTTATTCTCTAAACAAACCTGCCTCTTCTCGCTTGCTTGCCTGAGAGTCTGCGAAGTTCCTGCTGCGGCTTCATGAGCCACCAACCCGTGGGGTGTCTAGCGGCTGGGGCTCAGCACTGCACCTGCAGCCTGGAATCCGTTCCTGGCTGGGAGACTAGGCCTGACAATTCCGGTATCACTGTCATGATAACAGAAACTAAATGTGCAGATTCAAACAATCCAGGAAGTCAGGGGCCAGGATGGAGCGAGAATGTGACCGGCCTCCTGCCTGCGGGGTGGACCATGAACCCACCTCCCTAAGTGTGAGGAGGAAGCTGCTGACTCGGCAAATTGGAATCCTGGAGACTGTGAAGAGGAGGGAGGAGCGTGTCCTGGAGCACCTGCGCTCACGGATGAGGCTGTCCCTGGGGCCTGGTCTAGGATTGGATGTTTCTGGGCTGCACATGGCAGTTTAGTAATGAAGCAAATGGCTGTGAGTGGAGGAGCCAGAGTTCTCTCTCCAGGACTGGAAGGTCACTGCACACACGGGGAAGAGCCCTGATGTGGAGTGTGGACCATCAGCGTGAGACCATGTTTAGCTTCATGAGACAGATGGTTCAGGAGTATTTACAGATATGTACACACACCTGGATAGGATGGTTACATCGATATTAATTCTATTTCAATTAAACTTTCCACTTCAATTCAACAGGTATGTTTTGAAAATATGCTACTGTTGCCCTGTTATACAGTGAAATATTTTTTAAAATAGGTATCTATTATCAAAGTCCGGATTAGTGATTTAATATATACTGTTTGTGCTGTCAGATAAGAGAGAAATAATGCCTGGTGTCTTGATATTGGTTTCTAAAATCTCTCTTCAGTGTAAGAGGAGGAATTCTTTGAGAGATGATGATTCTCAGAAGAAGCAAGAATCACACATGATGAACATGTTGCAGCCTGGTGTTCCGTAGAATAAAGAACCATGCAAACAAACACAGCTCACACTTGTGCACACCTGTTAACTAAGATTTGTAAGGAGCACCTGAGCCAGGGTGCAGGGCTGCCAGGGGCAAAACTAAACTGTCTGTGCAAACACACACTGGAGAAGTATTAGGATATAACACAAAGTATAACACAGGTATTCATGACCATCCTGCTAAAATGGTGAAATCAGTAATAGATGGGAGGTGGGGGAGAAAGAGACAAACTTTCCAAGAAGAACAGTGTCCAACAATAAATGTGAAAACATGACCCTGATGGACATGATCAGCAGAACCCCACATGCTGAATGTGGACACACACATCAGAACAGGGGACTCTGACACTGTCACAGCCAGAAGGAGCCCAAAGGAGCTCCATGAAAGATGTGGGCAGGGAACCTGGCTGAGACCTTAGAGCAGAATATGCTATTCAGCAAAGAGTAAGGAAATCTTAATACAATGTGGCAATGGTTAGGCATTGTGCTCTGTTCCCGACAGTTCTTGTTATGACACCCCCCCCAAAAAAAATCTTTCCATAAGAAGTGATCTTAACTGAAAAAGGGATGCTGACATACACTTAGTGAAGATGAGGCCTGTAGTGGGGTTCCCTAGTGCAGTGGGACTGGAGCCCTTTAAAAGAGACCCTTGAGAAGAAACGAGCACACAAGGAGATTCCAGGTGAGGTTGGAGTCCTGTTGCCTCAGGTGAAAGAACACCAGGTAGCCAGGCCAGAGGTCAGGACCAGACCCCCCCAGGTTTTCATGGGGTCGAGCAGGTACAGGCAGAGCTCACAGGTTAGTGAGCTGTGCCAGGTGCCCAGGTAGGAGAGGGACAGTGGGGAGGCTAGGGGAGCATCTGCCATATGGGGAGGGGATTGTGAGCCCCCAGATGTTGATGGAGGGGTGACTATCTCAGTCTCACTCTCAGGTGTCACTGTGCTTGGCCAGGTCTTCAGGTGGGCAGGAAATCATGGGGTCCTGAGGCCCATAGAATGGCCGCACAGCGGGGTGAGTCACCTGGGCATCAGGAAAAGATGACTTGTGGGGGCTGAGGTCGTGGAGCCCAGAGTACCCCCCAAAGAGGGGTGAGGGCAGGAGATGTGCCACTTACAAGAAATAGATACTTCATAGGGTGTGTCTTGAAGTCTCTGTGCCCCAGTTTTATGGGCACAGTTACAGACACCATGGCCTGGCAAGACAAGCAATAGAGACCCCAGGCACTCGGGAGAGAGGCGGATCCCAAGCACAGGAACAGCCTGAATCAGTTGAACTTCAGGTGGCTGAAAAATCTGTCAGAAAGTAACATCGGTCGTGGATTTCATTTCATAACTTACAAATTATAAGTATAAATTACAGGTTCACCATCTAGAGAACATCAGGAAGGTGGTATTAAATGAAAACTGAGTCAGGTAACACTCGATGGTGGGGGTAGAGGGGAAGAGTTACAGGAAATTGTGTAATAACCTCTTAGGTGCTTAAGTCCTCAGAAATTTCGTGAAAACTTTCCCCAATAGAGAGCCAGTCACTATCCAGGCCTGAGAAAATCACAAAGATGTGGTGGATTAGAAACATAACTGACCACTCTGACCTTAAGATTTTGTTAGGACAGCTAAGTTTTGTTTTGTTTTTGGTTTTTTTTTTTTTTCAGATACAGAACATCTTTTATTTATTTTTTTAAATAATAAATTTTATTTTTATATTCCCCATACAATTGCAACCCCCCCATTCTGACCCCAATCCTCCCCTCCCGCCCCCCACCCCCCAAAAAGTGTCTCTGGTTCATAGTTTTTTGTTGATTTTGATTTTCACTTTCTTATAATTATTCATTTTCCTGGTCCCTTATTTAAGTTTTCTAGATTCCTGCTATGAGTGAGACCATCCGGTATTTTTCTTTTTCTTTCTGGCTTATTTCGCTGAGCATGATCCCTTCCAGCGCCATCCATGTTGCTGCAAATTGCATGTGTTTATCTTTTTTGAATGCTGAGTAATATTCCATGGTGTATATGTACCACATCTTCTTGATCCAGTCATCTATTTTTGGGCATTTGGGCTGTTTCCAAAGCTTAGCTATTGTAAATAGTGCTGCTATAAACATAGGGGTGCAGGTGTTCTTTGGAATTGATGTTTCTGTG